CAAGCACATACGTAAACTTCATATCAAATGTGCAAGCGACCAAAACATTCTGAGATATCATTTGCTTCCTATTACGATACCTGGCTTGTTCCTCTACGGGGACATTTGCATGAATGTGAGTACCATCAATTGCCCCTACAGAATCCTAATAGGAAAACAAAAAGGCTTGGTTACAAAAAGAATAGTGACCGTGAAGGGAAAAAGTAAATGAAGTTAAATATTGCCATTGAACCTTAAAATATTGGAACCATGGCTTCTCCTTATCTTTCTCGTATGGTGAGTTCTGAATAGTGGCATTATTCACAACATCTCTGTACAATCCAAGGCAAGCCTGTAAAACTCTATGGAAGTAATAACCTACTGTTTGACCAGATCTAAAGAACTTAAAACTTCCAGTTCGATTACGGTGGTCATGTCCAACTGTGTTGAGAAATATAGCTACTTGTTCCTCTACTTTTACAGATCTATTGTCAACCAAACCATATGTTCGTAAACGAGCACATAAAATTTGAAATGGAGCTATCTACATCCTCAGTAGATCATGACAAATTCTATCACTCATACCGAACATCCTTGTAAGTGTCATTTCTCTTTCAGAATCCCAATTTCTAAGTGCGGCTCTAGGGAGTTGTCGATTACGACGTCTGATGGTATTATATATTACAATTGCTTGCATGACCATCGTCCAAAATAGACCCAATTGTTGTTGTTGGCAACGACGTTGGTTCCTTGTGGTATCCATGGTACTTAGAACAACGTCTAAAAAGTTAAAAGCAAGAGAAAAGAAGAGATTTATTCATGTTTACTAATTAAAAATTTTTGAAGCATATAAACAACTAGGCTGTACACCTAAATGTCACAGCAAACCATCAAAACTGAGCAACTAGAGGATGGCTGAAAGGATAAAAAATATTATGAGCATATAAACATATTTCCCGCAACGTCCTCATAAAGCTTATAAAAAAAATGCTTTGACGCCTAAGTTTAAATTTAAAAAAAAAAAAAATTCACGTGCAGCACAAAATGATATCTTTGAGATGAGTATGTTAGCCTTAAAGAAGCAACCCCTACTTCCTAAGTATGAAGTTTTCAATCACATGGCGTTACAGAAAAAATTTCAGCAATTATACTGAGAGCTTGTTTGGGAGGAATTTTAATCCAATTAAAATTGAAAATATAGCTGTTATTGGGTCCCACCCGTCTAATAAAAGTCAACTCCAACGGCTATATTTTAATTTTAATCCCTCCCAAACAAGCTCTTAATCTTGAAAGCAACTTTTGACTTTTTAAAAATGTCAAACGAGTAGAAAAATGATAATGAAAATTAGAATGTGGTTCAAATATGTGCTAATTATTACAAATATTTGCTGAATTATTCTTGTCTTATCGTTTTTTAAATTTTGACACTCGTTTTTTACACAAATCACTATTCTTCTCACCTAAAAATCTTTGATATCTCCATTTCATTCTTCTAGATGTGAATCGAATTAGAATGCTAAAATATTGGAACACATTTTGATTTCACATTCACATAAAAAATTATATATAGTGATTTTCATAGAGCCTGTTTGAGTNGATTTTCAACGTAAATTTGCATGCAACAAATGTAGATATTCCGCAAACTTGCTAAATACATCTAACTGTCCAATATGGTATGTGTTAAGATAAAATTTCATTTCCAAATAAAACAAATACGAATTATACTTTTAACATTTTTGCTGTGAACAACAAAAATATATATTTCCAATTCCAAAATCAGCTCTCAATCATTATTACCAACTCCAAAGTCGAACGAAAAATGAAAAATAAAGGATGTCCTCTAACATACAAACACACAGTTTAATAAACCTCCAAAAAAGGGAAGCTGGTTCAATGAAACACCTCAACGATATGCACATAAACATAGAAAGAGGGATAAATTACCTGAAATAAAACAATATAGAATTACTAATATATACAGAGAAAGTTGTCGACAGATTTTTTTATTTTTTATTTTTTTACATCCCTCTTGTTCTTCTCATTTTCAACCCCTCGGTTTAGCTAAAAATTAAACCATTTCTTCAGAAACGAAACCGAATAAGCAATCAATTTACAATCCCAAACGCAAATCATTTCTTCTCACCCACTTTACCAGACAAGAATACAATACGAACCCAACAGAGAAAACTTCTAAAACAAACATCAAAACCTCAGATTACTTGCACCAAAGTTCAAATGCTGAAAATAGAAAAGACGTATTCAATAGATATGCCAGTCAAACTTGATTCTTGTCAGAAAATCAAAACTTAGGGAAGCGGCTACTAAAAGCAGAGCTAAATGGGCGTAGCGCAAACCTGATTAGGCAACCTGATGGTCTGAAAGTGGTGATTCTTGAGGGTTTTCCAATTCCGACAGCTACTATGTTTTCCTCGGTGCAATCCACGCACTCTTCCCCTTTACAAGAAAGATTTTGTGTTTATTTTTTTGGTTGATTCGGAGGGCATTTCAGATTTTGGATGGAGACGGTGGAATGAAAAGGGGAAGGTGTGAGAAGAAAAGCTGCTTCTTTTAATAGCCACTTTGCCAGGAAATGAAAAACCACATAACCCAAGAGAATATCAATTCCACGATTTCATGGAAAAGGAGGTCACGTGCGCCGAAACAAGAAAACTAATTCCCCAGAATATTATGTCAATCAAACAGATCAATTTGTGGAAAATGGCTGGTTATTTTCCATCTTCCCTAGAAAACAAGGCCAATCAAACAGGCCCTAAAAGCGTTAGTCTATAGATAGGTACAACAAAAAAATAATGAAGTGTTTGGCTAAAAGTAAAAGTTATTTTTAAATAATACTTTATTTGTAGATATGTTTTTATATTTTTTGTTACTTTAAATCTATCTACTCTCTCTTAAAAGAGGGACTTTCAAGATCACTATTCGATTTTACCTCTCATATCACTATTCCATATGTGGAAAAAAAAAATAGCCGTATTTATTGACTTAAATTCAGTGACACGGTAAAGACGAGGA